CAGTGTTTTGTTTGTTCGTGAGTAAATCGGTTTGGCTGAGATTAAAGTTATTAGATTAGATTAGATAAAATAAAACTTTAATAATCCATCGGGTGGGTTCCTCCTTGGTTTTCACACAGCTGACTAAACCTCAAACAGAAAACTGATTAAACAGAAGTGTGAGATGGTCGAGAGTTTACGCCAGTGTCCTGTTATATTTTAGACAGCAAGGAGCAGACGGCCGAGTTTATTAAACTCCACCGAGACAGCGGTGACGCTAATCAGAAGGCTAGACCATCCAATTTCACAGCTGTTTACTTCCGGCATACCTGACTTTCTGAGGACCCAGCCCACGTAGACCCGGCCGGGTCCTCAGGAGGATGCAGCCCATGAATTTGGACACGACCATTGTCCCAGTCTCCCCTTGCCTTTGGCCAGATTGTCAGTTCTACCTCCATCGTTCTCGTCCATGTTCCATGTTCTTTGTGTTTAGTTTTGCCCAGTTTATTGTTAGTGAAAGTCTGAGTCTCATGTTGCCTTTTTTATTTCGTTTGATTTTGTGCAGCCTTACTAAACGGCTTGCTTTCATTAAGTTTATTCTCCTAGCATCTGCATTTGGGTCCTCGTTAGAACATGTGACACATTGTTTAAGTAGAACTGCTGCTCCACATTCCTAATGAAAAACATTGTTACTTTTAAGACAAACTGATCATTTTGCTACCATTTTGTTGTGAAGGATCCTTTTGCTGAACAGAGAACAGTTAATTTTGAAATTACAGAAGCAAATAATTTAGCCAGTGCCATAGTTTTCTTTTTTGTTATTGTTAATGTTGAAGAATGTTTGATTAAGCCTGATTGTCATTTGGATAGCAGAACAAAGTAAAATGTAAAGTGTGGTACTTATTTTACTAAAAGTTCACATGTTTCATTGTAACATTTAAAACTATATGTCCACAGTGAACTGCTTAAGGGTGGAAAAAGGAGGAGCCTTTCCCTCATTAAGATCTGGAACATTTGCAACTTGCTGCCCCTGCCTCCTTAAATAATCGTGGATTTTAATTAAAATTGACCTTTACAGAGGTAAGCTTTGAAAATAGCTGAGTCCTATGAGGAATGAAGGGTCTCCATTGAGAACATTCACATAGGCTGGACTTAGTTATTGTTACCCTCTAATCTCCATTATGGCACACACACTCCTCCTAACAAGACAGCCTATAAGGTATAAAAAGTTGAACTGCCTTTTTGGGTAACCCAAACTTTTAAAAACAAACAGACTGGACTACGACTGGCAGCGAAACTAATCGAATAAGCTGCACAGTCTGACACAATAACTCAGTGGTGTTGCAGTACTGTAGTTTTCTAAAAAACCCTACAGACTAGAGAACACTAAAGTAGCTAATCAAGGAAACAAAAACAAACTATGATTTCCTACATTAGACAGGATTGATTGCCCTTACGAATGAGGCTTATTAACTAAACTTAAAGCAGTGTATTCATTATACGCTCATGTCACACATCACTCCCTACGTCACTTTAAATCAGCCGCTCTCTAAAAGCCTCTAACAATTTACAAGCAGAAATCATATGCTTGTACACCTGAGATTTACTGTAAGAAATAATAAATATATATATTTAGGAGAGGATGAAGGTCATGTGTGCAGCTCCATATTACTCTATATGAAATTACTTTATTCTGTTGGTCTGTTGTTTTAGGGTAAATGCTAATTATATTGTATATACTTAATATGACAATTCTAACAAAGCCAAAAGGTTTCCAAAGAAACAATAACATGATTTTTTTTCCATCTATGTTTATATCAATAAATCATTAAACAGTATGCGGTTCAAGTAATGTAACATGAAAAACAGCTTTCAATAAATGTGAAAGTAGTTCTGATTTTATATTAAACAGTTGGATTGTACAATGTGCATTCAGATGAAATTAAGATGAATAAACCATTTTAATACATTTTCTATAGCCAGTTTGCCTAAAATGAGACCAAAACCTTGTAAAAGATCAGGAAATAGCGTCAAGCAATTAACCTTCCGGGACCTAATATGTCCCTGAGGAACATTATTAACTGTTCTCTTGTTACCATAACGGTTTAAACATTTGTGAACTTCATCTGAAAGTAGGCAACAACAATACATTCAAATCAAACTAGTGGGTGTAAAAACTGTTAATGTCATCCGAGCCAAAAGTGCAGGTACTGTCAGCTTTAGAGCTTTTTAACCGATTAAAAGAAAAGATGTTTCAATTTTTGTGGTTTCTGAGCTTGTTATAAATTCTATAACATATATCAAATAATACACATGTACGAATAAAGAAATAAAGATAACATTTTAACTACCTGTAGTTACATTAACATATTTTGTGTAACGGGAGACCGCCTGCTTGAAAATCCAGTGTAATGTACTATACAGGATGATCGATGAATGGACAGTATGTGGTGTAAGTGAGACGCCGAGTAAACCGCGTTTTGCATCCCTACTTCTTAAATAGATCCTGAAGTTTGTTTTTTTCCCAAGAGGCATTTTTTACTGGTCTCACACAACTAATTGGTTTCTCCTTGAATAATTCATTTCCATGAAATGACAAAATTGATACAATTCAAAATGTGTGCACATGGACATCTTAATATATGCAGCGGTTGAAGACTATTCAGCCCACTTACACAATGGCTGGCAGTCCCAGTCAAGTACATAATTAGTTGAATTAGATTAAATAACCAATTACGAGACTAACAAAGTAAATAAGCCTGCAGGGATTCCACCAATTGCTTGAGAATAGAGTTAAAGTGGAATTAGTTTATTGACAGGCTGAATGACAGCGTGGTCAGACAAACAACTCTGTTCCTGTCACAGAGACAGAGTACCGGCTGACGTCCAAGGATGAAATGTATAAGTGTCCATACAGTACTTTAATTATA